CGACTGCTGGTGAAAGACTAAAGACGCACAGTAAAGTTACAGGCTAGTTAGAGCTGTCACATGAGCGCGGCGAAAAGACGTGGTCATCATATAATTTATTTCGTTATTTGGTTTATAAAATAGACCTCGTACCCGGTTGTCTCACGAGGGTCAGCGGCATATACTCCGCCGACGCCCTTGAGCAAGCGTCACTTCGTTGTCGGGTGTGGACGGCGCGCATCTACTGCGCATGCGCATCGCGCGTGCGGCGATCGCGGCGCGTCTCACGTCGTCGGAGCGCTCGTCTGTCGTCTGCTACGCGCATGCTACTGTCAGTGGAGGAAGTTCTGCATACACAAAAGGCGGTGAACCCTAAAATAAAGGCTGTGTCTACAGTACCGTCCGACGGCACTCCAATCGCGCCTACAAGTGCCCTCTGAAAGAGAGTCAGACGGCGCGTGTATGACTGGGGAGCTCGTTAACACAGCCCCCCGCCTGCGTTCACGCCGCTTCGCGGCGACAGTATGCGGCTGCTAATTACAAAACGTAACCAGTAGACGCCGCTTCCCGGCGTCCAGCCGGCAAACCAAGCCCCGTTATACCCCGTGCACCTCCAGAAGCGAAGCCCCATACCATTTCGTTCAGCGAAATTTTGGCGACAACATTCGTTTTTCCTGTGTTAATCGTAAAAAAAAAAAAAAAAAAAAAAAAAAAAAAAAATTAATAAAAATACATAAATATCGCCAAATGCGTTGGTAAAATAAAATGTACGAAAAACCAAAAAGTAAACCTGGAATGGGGATCGAACCCGTGATCGCTTGCTCATGAGACGGAGATCTTACCACTAAGCTACACTCCGCCTCGAAAAATCGTGTTTTGAGAACTCGTCTTATACGAGACTTTTGGACGCCACTTTAACGCGTAAGTGGAGTATCGTCGGACGGCACTTGAACACTCTGCAAAAGTGGCGTCGGACGGTACTCTAGACACTACGTAAAATAAAAGCTCCACCAATTTGCTCATCTGCTTTTTCGATATTTGTTAAAACAAATGAACATGGTGGCTTTTTTATGTGAAGGTATAAATGTCCCCATGTGAAAAAGATGGCGCGTGGAGTGTGGCGTGTGTCCCCCACAAAAAGAGTCCAGAAAAAGAAAGAACACAAAAACAAAAATGAAAAAGTTACAAATATACCCACCTCCTTCTCCCTCCTCTTTTTGGGTACGGAGGAGAAGGAGGTACAGAGGGGGAGGAATGGGAGCTGGCAGGGATGGTACAGAAGAGGAGGAGGTGCGGGGAAGGGAGGGAACACTATAATGCTTTTCTATTCCTACACAATTTTTTTTTGGCTTCCTACGTCAGTCTGCATTAGCTTCGCAGAGCCCGCTTCTTGTAAAGTTAAGAGCTATCTTGGGCACCGTGATAATAGATTGATTGTTGGCTAGCGCGTCTGCACCTTTGACCAGGTCTTGACTTTAAAAAGATCGAAGTACACCTAAGCACTCCTTATAAGTTGTGATTGCAAAAGCATGTACAGTCCTCGTCAAACTTGTACGGAACACTTGTGGAATATTGAACGCAGAAAAGAGATAAAATATGAGAGAACTGCACATATTTATGTGAACTGAAGGTATGCTACGGACATAGTGGGACACAAAGAGAAATAGCTTGGGGCTAGCGCAAGCTATGCACGCACACAGAAAAAATAACAGAACAAGCCAAGAGTAGGCTTAGCTTGTGTTCCAGATAAGTTTGCTGAGCACTGTACATCATTCTTGCGGTACGCGTGTTGGCGCGCTGACCTGACGCTGACTAAAGCACCATATGTTTCAAAAGTAGCGCAATGTTCGTCGAGGCACGTGCAACGTGCAGCCGTTGGGAAGATCATGGCGGCACAGCACAGCACTGAGCTAGATTTCAGACGCCATGCTTTTCCCAGAAGTGGAGCACGGCACGTGCCTCGAGCATTTCTACAAAAATGAATGGCGCCACTTTTCCCAGGATAGAGGGGCTTTAATGCTGACGGACACACAGCGCCATGAGGTGGCTGGTCGTTGAAACCGACGTGACAGCGTCAGTTTCAACAACCGGCCACCCCATGACGCTGCGTGTCCGGCGAGTGAGAGCCTGGTCGACACGCGCTAGCCAATGGGATCGAAGCAGTGTATAAGGTGCCATGGCTAACCGGCGAATGGGAGCTGGCTTGACTTGAAGAAGGATTTAAGAGCCGTTTGGCGTGGTTACAAAGCTGATGACGTCGGCTCGTTGCATGAGACAGTTAATGCTTTTGAATTAATAACAGAATTTATCGCTTGTGGATGTTGTCTTCCTTACTCTTATTGCCTTCTCGCCTGCGATAGATGGGTGTTGCTGACTGCGGGGTCCAGATGCCTAAGTTGTTTGCTTGAAGCAAAGAGAAGAGTTTGCTGCAGCTGGTTGCAATAATAACGAAGTCGTGTCAGAAGTGTCGGATAAGAAGTAGCTTTGACAGCGTTGCACACTAAATATGAAATGGAGAATAGACACGAAAGATGCATCTCTTTTCAAGCGTTCCTATTCTGCTAGGATTGCGTGAATGAATAGGAGTCCGCACCATGGCTGCCTTCATTCGGCCTCACACATTCTCAATAATGTTGAGGTCCGCGCCTTTTAGAACCCACGGCAAGTCATTGATACTGCACTGCCACAAGTGGTCCTTCATGGTGCACGCAGTGTTGATGGGCGAGAGATTGTGTTAAAAACATTTGCTGTCGGGGAAAAGACCACAGCGAACAAAGGGTATAAGGGCGGTGTCCACCAGGTCACAGTTCTTTTTATTTCATTGGAATGCATAGAAATGTTTGTTTTCCTTTAACTTTTGACTGAGGAAAGTATATATTTTTTTATAACATCACAAATTAAATTCACCACCTAGCCGCATTTGTGTGTTAAATAACAACGTCGCAGCTTACAAATCTCATTTTATGTCATCTCTCGTACATTTCACATTACATTGTCTGCGACTGTAAATTTATTTACATAAAGGCTGCGTCACACATTTTCATCAGTTGTATTCAAAGTGACTGAAGCGACATGTACCATGGAGACATTCGGTTAACTGCTCGCCGTACACCAGTGTGACAAGCAATGTAAGAAGTATAGGTTTGTGAAGCGATCATGAGTTATGGTTGCAGGCACGTAGCCAAGGGGGGGGGGGGGGGCATGGGTCCCGCCCCCCGAAATCTTCCATTTTGCTGGGACCTCCTCTCCCCCCTCCCCCTTATACAGCATTTTGTCATGGGTGGCCCCCCCCCCCCCCCCCCCCCCCGAAACAAAATCGTGGCTGCTTGCCTGTATGGTTATCAGGGTGACCCATCACTCCTGTTGCTTTGGCTGCTGCAGACAGATCCGACACAAATATGTGAACCAGCTTTTAGATAGCAGACAACCACATCAATACTTATTAGCTGAATCTCTACACATGAAGTTCATTGCCAGCTTTACTATGTTCCCTTTTTTTTGCCTTACAGATGGAATCCGTATACACCTTTCTGTGCACTAAGTGCAATCAACGAGCTCCTTCCCTAAAGGCTCTTTTCCGGCACTTTGGCACGTGGCACAGCCACGAAGGTGATTGGTTGTGTGGCTTGGAAGGCTGTGCGAAAACATTCAGGTTGTACTCTTCTTTTAAAAAGCATGTCAACCGACATCACCAGCACTGTTTTGACAGCTGTGCCCCTCATAGTGCCTTTGAGGAGCAAGGGACCTCAACACCTAAAGGGTTCTCTGCCCCGACTGCTCCTCAAGACGACAGCTGTGAAGGCACTGGCATTGCAGATGACCTGCCGGGAACATCAGAAAGCGGTTTGGAAACTCTTACTCGTGGCCCTGCTGAAAATTTGTCATTGCTGCTGCTAAAATGGAAAGAAAAAAGGCAGCTGACCGAAGCAACAGTTGATGAGATCTCAAATGATCTAATTGCATCTATTGACATCTACAAAGAGAAGTTGGGACAGATCAATGCAAGAGCTTTCAATCAACTGAATAGCAAATCAGGGCGAGAGGAATCATGGAAAAGCATGCTTGGTTACGTCGCGCCTGTCACAGTGGCCTTGGACAGAGGTGAAGGCCGTAGCAACAAGGACAGTTTTGAGTATATACCAATCAGCAAAACCATCACTGCCCTTCTGAAAATAAAGGGGCATTACAAGGCATTAAATATTACAGAGGATTCCAAGCTGCTCCAGGATGTGTGCGACGGGCAATTGTTTAGGAACAATGATGTTTTCAACAATGTTCGCCGTGAGAAGTCGGTTGCTCTGCAACTGTACTTTGATGAGTTTGAAGTTTGCAATCCGATTGGAAGCAAGAGAGGTGTGCACAAGTTGCTTGCTGGGTATTTCACTCTATTGAACACATCCACCAAATGTCGCTCAAGAACAACAGACAAGCATCTTGTTCTCTTAGTCAAGAGCACCACAGTGAAAAAGCATGGACTAAAAAAAATATTGACACCACTCATTGAGGAGCTTCAGAAGATCGAAGCTGAGGGGATCCTTATAAACAATGAAACAGTGCATGGTTCTTTGTTTTGTGTCACCGGTGATAACTTGTCAAGTCACCAAATTGGAGCCTTCAGGGAGTGTTTTTCAAGTGGCTCTATATGCAGGTTCTGTTTGGCTACCAGAAGCGATCTGAACGACAAGTGGGACGAAAGTCAATTTGTCTTACGGACATCATCTCTCCATGCCCGACATGTGCTCTTGGTTGAGAGTGACCCAAGTCTTGTCTCCACTTATGGGGTGTGTGGCCCAAGCTGCATGGCAGAAGTTCGGTCATTTGAAGCAACAGAAAGCTTGCCACCAGATATAATGCACGACTTGCATGAGGGAGTAATCCCATTTGTAGTGAAGCATGTGATTAAGAGACTTGTTTCCGAAGGTACGCTCACTTTGAAGTTGTTAAATGAGAGACTCGAGGCGTTTGAGTTTCACGATAATGACAAAAAGTCTAGGCGACCACCTCTGTCTCGTCCAAGCATTATGGGAAATTTTGGCATTAAGGGATCGGCAGCCGAGAAGCTATGCTTGTTTCGTTTCTTCTCATTGCTGGTAGGAGATGTCGTGCCAAAGGACGATGATGCGTACAGTGTGTATCTCGCTCTGAGGAGAATTGTTGACATTGTATGTGCCCCTCAGCTCACTACCAACACGATCCCCTACTTGAAGGTTTTGATCAGCGACTTCTATAGTGCATTTACACAAGTCTTTCCTGAGGTCAATGTCATCCCCAAGATGCACTACTTGATTCATTACCCTCGTTTGATTCGGCTGTACGGGCCACTGTCCAAGCTGTCGTCAATGAGGTTTGAAGCAAAACATCAATACTTTAAGTCGCTTGCAAGAAAAACCCGCAACTTCATAAACATATGTCGTACTTTAAGCACCAGGCATCAGCTCTACGAGATGTATCATCTCTCCCAGCCAAAAGAACAGATCGCCACATCAGGGTGCAAGCGGGTGCCTTTTGAAGAGCTGCCAGAGTTACTGCAAGACAGACTTCACGAGCTGGAACTTTGGAGTGCACAAGTCACTACAGTGAACAGTGTCACCATGTCCCAGCGGACGCTTAGAAAAGAATGTGTTCTTCCTCTGACGGCTTTTGATGATGACCTCCCAGACTTTGCTGAAGTGACTATGATTGTCATCTCTAATGAGAGGGTGTTCATTGTTGCCACAATCTTGCAAACGAGGTCTTTTGATGACCATTTTCATGCGTATGTGGTTGATTATACAACACATGCTGTTGTCATTGAAGACTATTACCACAAAAGTGAATTTCATGATTTGCTTTCTGTGTACCGACTTAATAAGAAGAGATACATTAACATGCGGTACAGTTTGATCACTGGGAACAACCGTTTTTCTTAAGAGACCAAGAAAAGTACTGTGGAATATGAAAAAGGGGTGGTGCCTTCAACCATTGAGAGAGAGAGCTATTTGCTGACAGCTTTGTGAGTGTAAGAACATTAGCAGTCTGTTTACATGTGCAAAATTATGTAAATAATCACATGATAGGACTGTGACATAAAATGCATGCCAGGCTGAGCCCTTGTGTCGACTACTTCCATGTTTTCTCCAAGACACAGTGATTATGGTTGATGCATACTATGACCAGCTATAGTGAGCTATTGAAAGTGAAGTAATGCTGTGTTATTGTTCTACAAAATCTGAACCAAGCAATATGGCCTAGACCAGAGGTGTGCAAACGTTTCAGACCCGTGACCCACAAAAGGCAGGAAAGCCCCGAGGAGTCGCATCTGACGTGATGCAGAAGGCCAACAAATTTAAACAAAAAAAAAATCCTATGCAATGATTTTCGGAGAATGGACAAGTAACTATGGGGGTTGTTCTCCGACACTTCTAAAGACGAACAGAAAACAATTTTGCCTGTGTCCTAGTTTTTAAAACAAAATAGATTGAAGTTTCCTGCAGCCCTCATCTCTCCGAATGACGTGTCTCTCCGAATGACGTGCTCAGTGACGTTGTGGGGATGCACGGGCTCTCATATGCTCTCCCCAAGGACGTTTACTCTCTCTCTCTAACGCTCTTCGTGAGGTGATGAGTCGCAGCGACATGTCACATCGTGGTTTCCACAGCCGCCAGGTACGGCTGCAGAGTGGGAAATATTTCCATTTTTGCTTTGCAATTACTCACCAGTACTTAATTGTTCAAAGGAAAGAGATGCTTTTTCTATCTTTTGTGGCAACATAAACAATGTAAAAATTACAAGCCGCAAATTTCTTCCATGTTACAATCGTTTTACACTGGCTAGCATTACGTCCGGACGGAGCACTGAAACGCGTATACCTAACCCTCTCCACCGCCCTCTCTCTCCCCCCGTGAGCCTAGGGAAGGCGGAGATTTGGACGTAACTTGGGTTACGTCGGACGCTAGACACTTTGATTGTTTTGTAGCCCTTTTAATATGGTCACAGGAGCCATTTGGAGAGCGCCCTTCATAGATCAAAGTAAGCATTCCACAAAACCATTGCTACCTTGATGGTGTGGTGATGTTAGAACTTCACACGAGCCACGAAAATAAACAAACTCTTCGACTGAAAATCTCAATAGTTGCTCAAAAATAAACTAAAAAGGCTGAACCCCAGTTATATGTTTATTCTTCTTGGGTAAGAAAGAGAGATGCATATGCAATTGGTCGTAGAGTGCCGTTTGGAGTTGTGTGTGACAGAACCGCAGCGAAAACATTAGCTGATGCATGCAAGCTGTAAGGGTGCATTGGAGTCGTATAGTCGGTGAGAATTTAAGGGTGCAGTGGAGCCTCCACTCTTGGCTCGAGCTTTTTGTTTTGTGTTTATAGTTCAACCATGCACCATCCCAAAGTGCGGTGGAAGGGAACAATTGCAGGCTCTAGGTGAAGCTTCTACTGCACTCTTAAAGGGATACTTCAACGAAATTTGAAATATCCCCGTCGTGTTCAAAAACGGGTTGAATACGATCCACAATATCCGTAAATGACAATCGCACGTTTGTATTTTGAGCCTGGTAGCTGTATTTTTTGTTATAAACGGCCCACTCTGGCGAGCGCTCGGAGAAGGCCCAGCGGAGGCCACGTGACATCCAACGCAATAGTGACGTAGGTCGTCTCGAGACGAGCAAAGCTACGGTGAGGCTGACGTCAAGAGGATGGCATAGTCGTTCCAGCCACCGGAAGCGGCAGCTTTTGTACGGATTTTGAGTGACTGGTTAATCTTCTGTAATCTTCTAGGGGGACAATAGCGACTTCTGCGACACACAAAAGGAATTCTCGGGAAGAGGGGAGTTCCTCCTGCCCCTCTTCGCTCGTCGTGGCCGGAGGCGAGACAACCTCCGTCACTAGCTGTCAAGGTTCCTAGATGGGCATTACAAGCGAGGCGTTAGCGACATCCACCAGCTGCTCTTTGCTAATCGTTTAATTCGTTTTAAAATTACTTTTCGAGACTTTTTTTGACAAAATATTGGTATGTTCGATGTGATACTGCTCCTTTGAACACATATAGACCAAAAAATGAGCACCGAAATTTCGTTGTAGTATCCCTTTAATGTGTTACTAAGTACGGTGAACCAAGACTGGCGAAGATGACAGGGCCGGCTTTATCTTGCCGAAGGGTTCCTGACACACACAGTCCTAGGACCGAGTGACGTTATGCCGAAAGAGCCCATAGGAAGGATGTGCAGAAATGGCAAGCGAAGATGCAACTTGACATAGAAAATAACAGGTCCAAACAAAAAATGAGGCTGTAATACATTGAACAACGTCCCCTCTCCTCAGCACTTGCTTTTACACATTTTGGAATAATGACATGTCCAACGTACGAGATGCTGTTGCAGAAAAGAACACGTGGTTCTGTCTCGCATGTATGCTGCATTCAGACATCCTGTGAAGGCACTCCCTGAAGCGTCATCGGAAGTCTTTGATGCAGCATGTGACACTGACAAGTCCCAGATCATGTTACCCATAAAGCATAATTTTATCAGTGTGTGTGTCAGATGCAGAATTGGATGAAAAGAACAATATGCGTTCCACTGGAGCACTGCAACATGCCTCGTTCTAACAACCAAGCTGCCAAAGCACATAAGTTGGCAGCTGGCAAGTTGTGAGGAAATGGAGTTTAGTAAGGCAACTTTAATTTTCGTTTTTTTGTAGCCGACTATTTGCGAAGTAAGTTTACCAAGAACTTCTGTTGTCTTCAACATATGGCTCCCCCGCGAAGGTCGACTCGCTCGGCGATGCAGGAGCCGAACCCAGCCGTCCGGTCGTCGCTACCTGGCTTGCTGTGTTGCGGTCTGGGTGGTCGCGATCATAACAGCGGCAAAAAGGAGCCTCATAATACTCAAACACGATAGGCATGAAGTAACCAGCCGTCGGCCGCTGACTATGGTTCGACCCAACGTCCCACCCCAACGTTATTCGGCCGAACTGAGATGGCCATTTCGCTTGCAGTTGAAGGGTTAAACCCAAAACGAAACCAACAGCTCTGTTACGTGTTCAGATCAGTGATACGTTTATATCTATTTTAATTCTTTAGAACGAGTAATGAGACCTAAAATTTTATTTGTGGTTCGTAAAAAACTATTATCAAGACCCCTAAAATAAATACGAACCTGGGCGACATGAGGAAAGCCGCATTGCCATCGACCAGAATCAATGGCAGCGCCTGAAAAGTCGGAGCTTCGCCAACGTCCCGCGACCTGGCACAATTGCTTTTGGTGCATATCTGTCTCCGGGACATGTTTCTTTCCGCGGCATTTGTCTCCACGATCCTTTCTAGGTGTGTCCCCAAGCATTCCGGTGCTTCGATAGCTGGCAATGCAGCGGTCGTCACCAAGGGTGATGCGTGTTTTCGAGGTCGGCTACACGGTTATCCGTGTATGACTGAACCAAAACACGTTTTTTACAACCTCGCATGATTTTTGAACGAATTATCCGTTACCCAATGTGTAAATTTATGCGAATTTGTGTAAATAGCGTGTTTTTCACCCCAAATATTCACCAAATACACGGAACTTGCTAACAGTGTAGGGAAAACCACGAACGCGCGAAACGAACATCCGCCGCCGTCGAGATATTCCGGGCACACTCACGATGCCGTCCCTGATGCCGTTGCCGCGGGTGTACCAGGCGTTCCTAGCACGCTTAGCGAAAACCACGAACGCACGAAACGAACATCCGCCGCCGTTGAGATATTCCGGGCACACTCACGATGTCGTCCCTGATGCCGTTGCCGCGGGTGTACCAGGCGTTCCTAGCACGCTTAGCGAAAACCACGAACGCACGGAACGAACATCCGCCGCCGTTGAGATATTCCGGGCACACTCACGATGTCGTCCCTGATGCCGTCGCCGCGGGTGCACCAGGCGTCAGTAGCACGCTTAGGGAAAACCACGAACGCGCGAAACGAATATCCGCCGCCGTCGAGATATTCCGGGCACACTGTCGATGTCGTCCCTGATGCCGTCACCGCGGGTGCGCCAGGCGTCTCTAGCACGCTTCGCGAAAACAACCACCGCGCGAAACGAACATCCGCCGCAATTGAGATATTCCGGGCACGCTCACGATGTCGTCCCTAATGCCCTCGCCGCGGGTGCACCAGGCGTCAGTAGCACGCTTAGGGAAAACCACGAACGCGCGAAACGAACATCCGCCGCCGTTGAGATATTCCGGGCACACTCACGATGTCGTCCCTGATGCCGTCGCCGCGGGTGCACCAGGCGTCAGTAGCACGCTTAGGGAAAACCACGAACGCGCGAAACGAATATCCGCCGCCGTCGAGATATTCCGGGCACACTGTCGATGTCGTCCCTGATGCCGTCACCGCGGGTGCGCCAGGCGTCTCTAGCACGCTTCGCGAAAACAACCACCGCGCGAAACGAACATCCGCCGCAATTGAGATATTCCGGGCACGCTCACGATGTCGTCCCTAATGCCATCGCCGCGGGTGCCCCAGGCGTCAGTAGCACGCTTAGCGAAAACCTCGAACGCGCGAAACGAACACCCGCCGCCGTTCAGATATTCCGGGCACACTCACGATGTCGTCCCTGATGCCGTCGCCGCGGGTGTACCAGGCCTTCCTAGCACGCGTAGCGAAAACCACGAACACACGAAACGAACATCCGCCGCCGTCGAGATATTCCGCGCACACTCACGATGTCGTCCCTGATGCCGACACCGCGGGTGCGCCAGGCGTCACTAGCACGCTTAGGGAAAACCACGAACGCGCGAAACGAACATCCGCTGCCGTCGAGATATTCCGCGCACACTCACGATGTCGTCCCTGATGCCGTCACCGCGGGTGCGCCAGGCGTCAGTAGCACGCTTAGGGAAAACCACGAACGCGCGAAACGAACATCCGCTGCCGTTGAGATATTCCG